CAATATTGTAATGCATTACTTTTAAAAGTAACTTTCCCCAACACTGGTAGTAACACACACACACACACACAAAAAAATGATATATACATACAGGGCCTGAATTTCATTTTGGAAAATGGGGAGGAATTCCCCCTTTAAGTGGCTCTTATGGGGGTTAATTTGAGAGGGGAGTTAGGGTATTTTTTTTTAAAGACATTTTTAAACTACAATCATCTAACCTAAATGTTTCGTCACCCTGTGTATTTGTGTGTTTCAGTTTATAATGTTGATTCATATTTATGTTGTGAGGAACATAAAAATAACTTTGATTTCAAACTCCGAATTGAAATAATTTGAACTAAAAAAGACAAGTAAACAGTCAGTAATAAAATAAGAATAGATAAATGACAAGCAATGGCACAAACACATACAATAACAAGATACAAATAAAATGAACGGTGCTTTAAGTTTCTCAGGAAGGTATAACAACAATATTCAGAAGTACCACAAAAACCGAATAATCTATTTAACTTTAAAATAACACTGGTTAGTCTTTAATGTATAAATCAACATTAATGACAGACAGCAGCAGGTTTATTTAGGTTGCTGTCTCTTTAAGACCTCCTGCACGGATCTAACTGTTACACATAAGTTTTGGTTCTCAACTGTTTGCATTCACGTAATAGCCTATATACTGACAATGTTTAGTATAAATCGACTGTTTATCAAGACGTGCATTTTGACATAGTTTTGTATGTATTTGGCCGTTTCCCCGGTCTGACGTTACCAAAAGAAGCCCAATTGGGTGGGAACCCGCCTGGCAACACTGACGCAGAATTAAACCACAGCTCACTAGCAGCCAGTGTGTTGGGGGTAATGCGAGTTACGTAATCAGATTACTTTTTCAAGTAACTAGTAAAGTAACGCATTGCTTTTTCATTTACAAGAAAATATCTGAGTTACTTTTTGAAACTTTTCAAACACACTGACAGCTCTCATGTTGAGAGAAATCTGGAGTAAGTAGGCTACAGAGGCATGCATGATGTGCCCTGTGTATGGTTAGTTCTAGACTAAATATGAACATGCATTTGCTCATCTCACCTGCACAAAAACAGATTCAGCATTCCTCCAGATGAATAAAGAACAGTGAAATGCAAACTCAGAATATGATGCAAATCTGATACTTAAATGGTTAATAACACAAATATCCTTTATGTATTTAATCTCATTTTATTAACCAATGTCTTTGCTGCTGAGCTTCGATTATCAAATTAAATCATACTAATAAGCAAAAAATACTTTAGATAAACTAACATTTGTGCTTCATTTGTTTTATTGCCGAAGAGTGTTGAACTTTCTCCTGCATTCTGCTGTACAGACGTGAATGGACTTTTCCTGAGGTTTATTCATTTCACTTTTTAATGTGAAATGGCTTTTACATTTACCAAAAATAGAACTTTATATATTAAAAACAAACAAGATAGCCCAGCCCAGATTTGAAAAATAACGCAAAAGTAACGTAACGCATTATTTTCCATAAGTAACGTAATTAGTTACTTTTTTAAGGGAGTAACACAATATTGTAATGCATTACTTTTAAAAGTATGCTCAAGTGTATGCTCACATATAAGGCACTGCATGGTCTGGCCCCTCAATATCTGTCTGCACTTTTAACTTTATATACACTCAAGCGTCATTTACGGTCCTCACAAGATGGTTTATTTTGTGGTTTAACTTCCCCCAGCAGCATGCAGTCACGCTAGAAAGTTAGTGAACCTTTAAAGGGATAGTTACCCCAAAAACGAGACTTCTGTTATCATTTAATCAAGTAGATCCAAACCTACTTCTCACTGACTAGTATTTATCTAAATATCTTTGTTTCAGAAAGTTTGTGCACCATTTATTTAAAGATTCTAATGGAGGAAGGTGTTTTAACACTGACATATGAAATAATAGTTTTTTTAACAGTTTATTGAACCTTTAGCCTAGATATATATAAAAATGTTTGCATATGTGTTTTAGCTTATTTGTATCAAGTATCATATTTGATCCATCAGGTTTTTATGGCTCATATAGTCTGATATAGTGAGAATATGGAGGAAAAACAGCTAAATTTTAGTATGCAATTTGGTGCAGATGCTGATATATTTATATGACCAAAATTCTGATGCTTGTAAATCAATGAAATCGTTTTACCAGTATAGCAGATACTTACATAAAATGATATAAATATCAGTCGTCACTCTGTATCTCCAATTATATGACGCGATTTAAATGATCAAAACATATAATGCAATGCAATACAGTGATGATTGAGAGGTGAAGAATGCCTGATGATCATGTGTGATTTTCACTGATTTTATTAAGTGGGATGTCTAATTTATAAGTTTAAAGCTAAGCAGCTTTAGACCAGTAAGTGCTTATATGCTACTGTAAATGAAAATCAGGTATTAAAGTTCAAACTTATTTTAGTCTTTTGTTAACCTTTGGCCTATATAAGCAGAACACACTTGATAAACCTGCCACCCACACACACACACACACTCTCTCTCTCTCTCTCTCTCTCTCTCTCTCTCTCTCTCTCTCTCTCTCTCTCTCTCTCTCTCTCTCTCTCTCTCTCTCTCTCTCTCTCTCTCTCTCTCTCTCTCTCTCTCTCTCTCTCTCTCTCTCTCTCTCACACACACACACACACACGTATTGTTTGGTCAGTGGTATATACACATTGGGTGTGGGATTGCAGTGATGAAATGTTCACTCCTCAAAGGCTTTAAAGATTCCTTATCATGCTAATGTCTTCTGGGTTAAGATGTGTGTACAGACAGGGCCGGCCCGAGCGTTTGTGGGGCCCTAAGCAAGGGCCCCATTAAGATATTAATAAGACTTTTGCAAGGAAAAGAGGACTAAAAATAATCATACAATGCTAGTGCAACATATTAAATAAATATATAAAAATTTTATTCAAATTTAATAAAAAAATAAAATTTAATTATATACACACACATGCATGCACACAACTGATATGTGTGTGTATATATATATATATATAATAGAACTATGTGCAAAAGATAAAACAGTGTAAAACTATAAAACAAAAATGCAAATCACTGTACAGCAATGAGGGATAAAAATAAACAACTAAATATATCTGAATAGGTTATTAAAACGTACCTCATCACTGTAAAAATTGTCAAAATAAATTAAATTTTTTTTTTCATTTTAAACATATTTGTACTTATTTAAAAAAGATATTATGTAGTGTGTAACATATTAAATATATTTTTCTGTAATTATATTATGGCACAACTATGCAAAAGTTACAGCAGTTTTTGTGGAAACAAACTAAATGTGCAATCGCTGCAAATCAGGTACAAAAATGAGGGATAAAAAAATTAAGATCTAAAAATCTTAATATTGAGAGAGCAAGAGAAAGCAGATCTTTGTCTAATTAATTGTGTTTATTGTGTTAATTTTACTTTTGTACGTTATTCGTGATCAACCATGACATTTTTTGGAAGGAAAAACACTCTTACAAGTTGTCTTATGCAAAAAACAGAACATTTTCGGGGATGTCAACCAAAGTGAATGAATTAAACAAAGATGGAATGATATGAGACACGGACTATTATGAACATCTGGAATCTGAGGGTGCAAAAGAATCAAACTATTGAGAAAATCATCTTTAAAGTTGTCCAAATGAAGTTCTTAGCAATGCATATTACTAATCAAAAATTAAGTTTTGATATATTTACAGTAGGAAATTTACAATATATCTTCATGGAACATGATCTTTTAGATTTTTGGCATAAAAGAAAAATCTATAATTTTGACCCATACAATGTATTGCTGGCTAATGCTGCAAATACACCTGTGCTACTTATGACTGCTTTTGTGCTCCAGGGTCATATATAAGCATGTAAATGCCCTGATGTGTGCAGGTGTCAGAGATGAGTTACCCCGGATACCCTCCTGCAGGTGGAAGTTACCCGCCTGCCTCCGGCCCGTATCAGCAGGCCCCAGGCGGATATCCACCCCAACCGGGAGCCTACCCTCCCCAGGGCGGATACTACACCCCTCAGCCCGGCGCGTTCCCCCCCGGAGCGGGATACCCCCCCCAGGCCGGCGGATACCCTGCCCAGGCCGGCGGTTACGCCCCCCAGGCCGGCGGTTACCCTCCTCAGGCCGGCGGTTACCCAGCTGCCCCGGGAGGAGGCTTCCCGCCCCAGGCAGGAGGTTACCCCGCCGCCCAGCCCGGGACCTACCCCAACATGCCCCCTGCAGGTCAGTGCGGTTAGTCTGAGCTCTGCATGCAGAAGCATCATGGGATTGTTGTTGGTCGTAGTGTGTGTTTCTGATGCTCTGATGTTATTAATGGGCTTCACAACTGGCCACAGCTTCTGAAAAACTGAGCACTAATGGGATGTATTAGTCATATTGTGTTTGCATGCTTGTAAAAAATAAGATTGGAGGGGAAAATATTTGTCTATGCATTGAGTTTGAAATGCATCAGTTCCCATTTATGATGCATCATTTTTCAAAAATTAAATATATTGTATTTTTAATTTATATATATATATATATATATATATATATGTGTGTATGTACATGTGTGTATAATTTTTTAAGAGCACATTTCTTCTCTCTAATTTGACAATTGACAGTGAATCTGTTTGCATGCTGGTAAAGATAGACTATAATAGCTGGTATTAAAATTTCTGTGCTGCAGAAAACCTCAGCATCCTGTCATTAAAATGAAATGTACTGTACTGTAGAATGTACTTTTCAAAGTAATAATAACAACAACTAGATAAAAAAGTTTGTCAAGACAAACTTTAAGTTGGCTTGAGAAAGCCGGACCAGAAAGTTTGAAAAAGATTGAAAAGTTTAAGAAGTTTAAAAAGTTTTAAGTTTGATGGTTTATAATACCGTTTATTTTACATTTTTCACACATTTTTCTTACATGTTTTAATTTAAACAGTTCTAAAAATTAATTGATCAAATTTCAGTTGATTACATTGTTTTATTTCATTTTTTATTCTTAATAAAAATATATATTTTTATTCATTTAATAAAAAATAAAAAAACATTTTATTTAAAATGTTATTAATTTATTTGATTTCTGCCTATTTTGATAATAATATTTGCATTAAATCATAATACACAGAATCCATAAAAATTAAAACAGACCACACAGAATTTCTTAAAGAAATAAACCACATTTCATAATGTTAATGTTAAAATTGTTAAAGTTTTAATTTGATTGCTTAGACATGCTTTTTGATTATTAAAATGTAATCAAAACTTGAAAACAGAAAAACTAAAACAGAAAGCTAAGAATTTTTCTAGGAAAGATTTGTGAAAAGGATTTAATATAGCCCTAAAAGTGTTTATTTTCAAATGCATCTGTTTCTGTTTTTCATGCATCATGTGTAATTAAAAAAAATTATATAGTTGCATAATTCTTTGTGTTGTTTGTTGTGCTTTGATTTTCTGTGTTTCTGTATTGTTATACGAGTTATTTGTGTTGTTAGCAGGTGGATGGGGCGCCCAACCCGGCTTTGGAGCTGTAAGAATCCCTTTATTTCTGCCTCTTTTATTGTGCATAATCAGTTGTGTGATGTATTTTTAAATGCACTACAGAATTAGATCGATTAAGCTCTACTACTGAAGTGTGCATCATGTGACTCGTCTTATAAATGTCTTGTGCTCTGTGCAGCCGGGTGGAGGAATGCCTCAGGGTTACCCCGGGGTCCCAGCGCCGGGACAGCAGCCCATGCCAGTGTACCCGGGTGCTTCAAACCCGTCAATGCCTGGGTACGGAGGGGGTGTCCCGACCGGACCGACACCACCGGCCGCTCCTGCTGTCAATGTGAGACACTGTCAGCTTCATCAGCCACTAGGAGCTTTTGTTTGGTTTAGATCATCATGGTCACTGACCTGAAATTACAAACTTTCATCATCTAGAATCGCTCTTATGTGTATAGTCAAAATTAAACCTTATTCAGTAACCCAGGAACAAACTGTCAAGGAAATGCATTGGTCAGACAGTGTGGAAACCTTGACTTTAATACATTAATCTGCCCAGTTAACCACTGTTTCTCAGCTGTAGTCCAGGGCAGGTAGAACAAGAGAGACATAAAAGAAAACAGGAAATAACAACACTTGACCTCAGTGGTTTGTTAACTTCCTAATTACAATATAACCGTTTTCTGTAGTTTAAAGCGAATGTGAAATAGCTTTTACAATCCATTTACTTCACACACACACACACACACACACACACTTACACACACTTACACAATTTTATGTATAGATATGTTGGATATATTTTACTAATTATACTGTATATAATACATTTTTATGCAATTACTTTCTGATTAATGTATTACAAATAGTGTCAAAACGATTAATCGCATCCAAAATAAAAGTTTTTGTTTTCAGAATATATGTTGTGTGTACACTCGGTGTATATTTATTATGTGTATATATAAATACACACACATGCATGTATATATTTAAGAAAAAATATGTTATGTTTATATATTAAATAAATTTATATATAATATAAATGATATGAATATAAATATATACTTGTAAATACATGTAATATTTTCAATATATATACTGTATGTGTGTGTTTATATATATATATATATACATAATAAATATACACAGTACACACACGCATATTCTGTAAACAAAAACTTTTATTTTGGATGCGATTAATCGCGAATAACTTAAATAAATTTATATATAATATAAATGATATGAATATAAATATATACTTGTAAATACATGTAATATTTTCAATATATATACTGTATGTGTGTGTTTATATATATATATATATACATAATAAATATACACAGTACACACACGCATATTCTGTAAACAAAAACTTTTATTTTGGATGCGATTAATCATGAATAATCGTTTGACAGCACTAATTACAAACAGTTCAAGCAATTAACACAGCTAAATGCAACATTTATTATAATGGGCTTATGTGATGAGTGTTTTTACCGCATTTAAATTCAAAGTTAGAATATATTTTTTAAAAGTTCTGTAGCAGTTCAGGCCTGTTTAAAATGATGCCACAACTTTACTGTAATGTTAAATGGCTATATTTGCTCATTTTATCCCCAGAAATCTGTTCAATAAAAAAAAAAATCGTATCAGTATCAGTACTTAGTAAAAAGATGCCATTAAATAGATATTGCAGATAATCATGATTAATTATAGACAAATTAATGTAAATTTTTAAAATTGCATTTTAAAAATGTATTTACAATTGATTAAATATATAATAAAAATAGAAATGTAAAGTAACATTGTAATATGTGACTGATTGGAAGTGTTTCGTGATGTTGGTTGTGTTGTTTATGTTTAGAAGGGTTACCGCGGTACCATCAAGGACTTTCCTGGCGCCGATCCGCTCCGAGACGTCGAGGTGTTACGGAAAGCCATGAAGGGCTTCGGTGAGAAGAAATTCACCCAAAATAATTTCCATTTATTTGAACCACAGAAAATGTTTTGTATGCTATACATTCACATGTCTTAAAATACAGAGAGCTGAATGTGTTTTGCTCGCAGGAACCGATGAAAACGCCATTATCGAGCTTCTCGGCAGTCGACCCAACAAGCAGCGCGTGCCGTTGAAGGCGGCGTATAAAACCACTTACGGCAAGGTGAACATATGAGGAGTGAAGCATCAAATACCTAACAATGTGAAAGACTGTGTTGTGGTTTCTTACGTATAACTTTGCGTTTAAAATGCTTTGCAGGATCTGGTTAGCGACCTGAAGTCGGAGCTGAGAGGAAACTTTGAAAGTCTGGTGCTGGCCATGCTGAAGGCTCCTGCGCACTTCGATGCCTCTGAACTCAGGGAGGCCATATCGGTGAGATTTCCTTTCTTTCCCTTCGTTTTTCAGGAAGATATGTGCAAATCCACTCAGATACTAATATACCGGTCAATTGTTTAAACATCTCTTTCCCAAATCCTAGCAAGCTGCCTTGCCTCTACAATCGTACATGCAATGCTGATAAAAGCTGAGCATCCCAGTGTAGTATGCAGGGAAACAAGCCAAGCGTGCTTTCGCTTAATCTCATATGCTGCTGCGCTCATTAAGGAAACACGATACATAATTACAGAGTCGAGAGCAGAAATACTGCCAGACTGGAATGAATGACGCGCTCTGAGTCTGTGATTATCATCCCGCACTGGAAAAATATGCTGAATATATGAAAGAATCCTGATGATTGAGTGACTGAAAACTAAATATATTTGGAAGCTTGTTTCTGCCACGGGATAAAAAGATAATAAAGGTAATTGTGACTTTTTAGCTCACAATGCTGACGTTTTTTTCCTGGAGAATTCTCAGTTTCTTAACAAGACTCGGACTTTGTTTCTCTGAATTACGAGTGTGCATCTCGCAATTCAGTTTTTTTGCTACAGAATAAAGAATAAAAAAGGTAATTGCTAAATTTTCTCTCACAATTCAGACTTTTTCCCCTCAGAATTGTGAGATATAAACCTCGCAATTCTGATAATTAAAATGAGAATTGTGAGATATAAACTCTAAATTGTGAGAAAAAAGACAAAATTGTGAGATTAAAAGCCGCAATTATCTTTTTTTGTTTTTTATTCCATGGCATAAAAAAAGCAAGACACAAATAGAGCAGAAATACTGCCAGACTGGAATGAATGACGCGCTCTGAGTCTGTGATTATCATCCCGCACTGGAAAAATATGCTGAATATATGAAAGAATCCTGATGATTGAGTGACTGAAAACTAAATATATTTGGAAGCTTGTTTCTGCCACGGGATAAAAAGATAATAAAGGTAATTGTGACTTTTTAGCTCACAATGCTGACGTTTTTTTCCTGGAGAATTCTCAGTTTCTTAACAAGACTCGGACTTTGTTTCTCTGAATTACGAGTGTGCATCTCGCAATTCAGTTTTTTTGCTACAGAATAAAGAATAAAAAAGGTAATTGCTAAATTTTCTCTCACAATTCAGACTTTTTTCCCTCAGAATTGCGTGATATAAACTCAGAATTGCGTGATATAAACCTCGCAATTCTGATAATTAAAATGAGAATTGTGAGATATAAACTCTAAATTGTGAGAAAAAAGACAAAATTGTGAGATTAAAAGCCGCAATTATTTTTTTTTGTTTTTTATTCCATGGCATAAAAAAAGCAAGACACAAACTTAGAATTCAGATTAAAAAAGTCACATTTTGAGATTATATCTTGCAATTCTGAGTTTATATTTCGCAATTCTGACTTTTTTTCTGAGGATAATGATAAAAAACTTGAATTGTGAGATAAATTTTAATTTTATTAGATTGTGGCAGAAACAGCTTTCTTAAATATCAGGCTGTGACTGTGAGGATGCTTAATAGTATAAAGTTTTTAGTGAATAAACAAAAAAATTATTTTAACTTTTAAATCATGTATCTTGATTCTGCTTAAAAACCTTGATTCCCAGCTCAGGTTATCAGAAAATATGTCAAATACACACATAATAAAATACATTGTTAAAAACATGACTCTTAAGTCACAGCTGGTCAAAACTGTATTGTTGAGAGCAAAAAAACACGTGTTAAGTCATATCGGTGTAGGCTAAAAGTCACATTTTATTATTAGATTCAGAAATAATGTAAAAGAGCAGTAAATGTAGAAGTTTACAAACAAATGTTTTTAAAACCAAACATAAATGTACATTACTTTAGTTCCTCTCACTCCACAACAAATCATTTAAGTTGAACAGTTTTCAGATGACAAGAAAACTGATGAAAGATATAAGCATAAATTATAGTGTCATTCATTATAAACAACATTTATTTTAAATTGCAAGCCTAAACTAATTTATTTAAAGCAAAACTGAAACTATGAGGGTGTGTGAAACGTGCCTCACGTACTTCTCCCATTCGGGACACCAATCCAAATGTTTTGTGTGCTTGACGTTAATCGCGTTATACAAGTTGATTTGGAATTTAAGTCACAGCACTTTTCAGATGATTGAAAATTGAGATTTGTATTTGTAATTAGTGCTTTGCTGGCATTTTCAGGGTGCAGGAACCGATGAGGCCTGTCTCATAGAGATTCTGTCCTCTCGTAGCAATGCTGAGATTCGTGAGATTACTAAGATCTATAAAGCAGGTGAGTCTGTGTTCACAAACCCACTGAAGATCTCAGATCACGTGTTTAGTTAGTAGAGGTTTATGAGAAACTGCTTCAGATGAGTGTTTGTTGTCTAGAGTACGGTAAATCTCTGGAGGACGCCATCAGCGGAGACACGTCTGGACACTTTCGCCGTCTGCTCGTCTCTCTGTCTCAGGTACAGACACTCAGTCAGCTTTGGATCTTTTATTACATCTTACATATTACTCTTGTTGAGCATTTGATGCATTGAGGATAATTAATCACAAGGTTTTTAAGCCATATTTTTTAAAATATGAACAATAACAAGAAAAATACTAAGCAAATAGTTTCTTGTAAATCAAACTTTTTTTCAGATAGCCAAAACCTCTTGGATGACAGTGGTTTAATTGAATTGAATTGAATTGAATTTCATTTCATTTTAAGCAGAAATAAATGACTTGTAAAACATTGTAATCTTATGAATACATATTTGACATTTGCTGCAGATCAGTGTTATTTTAGTATTATTTATATAGTGTTATAGTATACATATATAATTTTTTTTAAATAAAATGAAATTTTTAACAAATTTTTTTAGACTAGTGAAAGGAAAACATCCAAAATACACATTTGTGTGTTTGTTTTATTGCACTTTTTGCATCTGTAGATTTCAATTATAATACATATCTCTAAAAGTTTTTCCTCCACTTCAGCAGCACTTACAAACACCAAACTTAGCAGTTCTATTCCTGTCTATATTCTGAAGGTTTTTACTGAGGGGTTTGTTCATATATCATTGGCCTGATTTATTATTACATTTTATCTGTTTTTGGCTTTCGATTTCATTTACAATACATTTCTTTAAAGGAAGTTTTCTCAAAAATAGTTTTTTCTCCACTTCGGCAGCACATGCATACACCAAAACTTACAGTTTTATTCCTTTCTGTATTATGAAGGTTTTTACTGAAGGGTTTGTTCATATATGATTGGCTGGATTTTATTATTACTTTATCTATTCGTGTCTGTAGATTTAAATTACAAACCGTATCTTTAAAAGTTTTTTCTCCACTTCAGCAGCACCTACACACACCAAACTTAGCAGTTTTATTCCTGTTTATATTCTAAAGGTTTTTACTGAGGGGTTTGTTCATATATCGTTTGATCTGGTTTATATAGCATTTTACTCCTAAAAGCATGGAAGTGTATTTTTCCTGTCTGTTGACAGTATTTTCTGAGTTATAAAACGAGAAATCCAAAATCCTCTCTGTAAAAACCTTTAACTCTAATATGTCAACAAAATAAAAAAATATTTGGAACCTGGCTTTATCCAATGTTCAGATTTATTTAATTAGATAATGGGTCATTTGCATATTTAAACATAACATTTAAGAAAACTTGTAACACAAAACAATGGTATTAAATGCATATTCCTAGTACACTTTTGTTGCACTTCTACAGTGTCTTTGATTTATGTGAATGTTTGTAGCCAAAGTTTATCATATGTTTCCTCTTTAAACATTTTAAAATTAAAGGCGTATTACTTATAATATTGCAACATGATTATGATACAAAATTGTATTCTGCAACTGATTAAATGTGTAATCTCAATAAACTATTCCTCTTTCTGTAATATGAAGTAATGTGTATAGTTTCTAATCATGTTCCATCTGTGTATTTTTCAGTGAAGTGCATTAAAAACACTCCTGCCTACTTTGCTGAACGTCTCCACAAAGCCATGCAGGTAGGGAATGTGCGGTTATGTAGTTGTTTTGTCATTCAGAAGCAGGTCTGATGGTTAGAAGTGGGCTATTTTAATGTACGCTCCAGCACTGTGCATGAGGCTTGTTTTCTGAACATTATATGTATGCATGTATGTTAGTAAAATCCCACTGTGGGTCAATATGCATGCATGACCTGTTGATGTTCACCTTTATTTAGGGTGCAGGAACCAAAGACCGGACTCTGATCCGCATCATGGTGTCCCGCTCTGAGGTGGACATGCTGGATATCAGGCAGGAGTATCTGCGGCTGTACGGGATGTCGCTCTACACTGCCATCTCTGTACGTCTCACACACACATGCACAATACACTGCACGATTCTTATGCTTTATTCACATATGTACAACACACACAATATGTGGCTGTGGGAAGTTTGTGTCGCCCACTGATTCAGCTGCAGACCACAGATTTTTGTGTATGCATGAGTGCTGCCGCTAAATAACACATGTGAGGTTGTTCTGCTTTAAAAAGCAAACTATAGCATGCATATATGCAACACTAAAATACATATTATTTTAACAGTTTCTATTTATATATATATACAGTATATATATATATATATATATATATATATATATATAGATAGAAGTAATTTTTAAAGCTTAATTAAGTAATACGTTTAAGAGTGTATTTATGCTTCTGTAGCTAGAAATAGAATTGTGACTGTTCTGGATATTTTTTTTAGCATATTATTTTTCTCAAATCTTCAGGGAGACACCTCTGGTGATTACAAGAAACTGCTCCTGAAGCTATGCGGAGGAAGTGACTGAAGAACCACGAAGTCAGATGCGTTACCATGACGACTGGATATGTGATGTCATCATATTAATCACGCTCGTATATCAATGTGTCAAATAATATCACTAGTGTCATGTTAACTAATATGTAATCTCTCTTTACAGCTTTATTAATTTCACAGCCAAAAATAGGATTTCATTTGTGCCATAGAAAAATGATTACTATAATACAGTTCATTATTAGTTTTATTTTGCTATCTATTCAGACTATGCATGATATCTAGAGAAGCTATATTTTGTACAGTGTCTTCAGTACCTGATGCCAAATCTGTGCTGTCACTCGCAACCAAAACTACAATCTGTTCTTCATCTCTGAAATCTGAAATGCCTTGGACGACTGAGTCTCTTGAAGTACTGAAATATATGCCATAGTTTTTATATAGTGAGCTTTATTATCTCTATGCAAGAAGAATATAGGATTATATCAATCATCATGAAGGTCTTGATGGGTCAGTCTCATGAAAACGTGTCATATTTCACCCCAAAATCAAAATATAAAATTAGAAATGATCTTTGCTTAAAGAAAGTCAAGGCTATTTTAGGAACATTGAGCTGTTTGCATCATCACACTTTTTCATGACAATTAGGCACATTTTTCTGCTAAATTTCCTGTAATGCATAATAGGTGTTTCTTTTTTGTAATTCTCATTTTTCTGAATAGTGATTCTTAATAAATGCTGTTTTAAACTAATGTAATCATATTTTGTACAACAAATACTAACATTGCTTAACATTTTTTTATTTGCATATTTTTCCATCATGGTAATGCATATCTGTGGCTCTAAAACAGACGTTTGTTTTATTTGAGTTTGGGATGAAATATGATCAGTTTTGTGAGATTGGCCCTGTTTGTTGTCATCGTCCATGACTAGCATGAATGTGAATCGCTGCAGCAGTAGAGGGCAGTAAAGTCAGCAATCTTTCATCCTGATAATCACTAGCTAAACAGGAGATTCTGACCTGTTTATTAACATGAAGAAGACCACTCTTTTCAGGGATTTCTAGCCTGTTTTTTTAGTATGTTCACTCAAACTAATCTGTACTGTTGTGTAATAACATTTGTGTCTGGTTAATAAAAACACTTCATGAATGATTCTCAAGTGAACTCCAGCTCTATTATATTATATTATATTAATTATATTATGTTATGGTATATTATATGTGACCCTGGACCACAAAACCAGTCATAAGGGTCAATTTTTCGAAATTGAGATTTATACATCATCTGAATAAATAAGCTTTCCATTGATGTATGGTTTGTTGTGATAGCACAATATGTGGCTGAGATACAACTATTTGAAAATCTGGAATCTGAGGGTGCAAAAAAATCTAAATATTAAGAAAATCATCTTTAAAGTTGTCCAAGTTGTTTACAGTAGGAAATTTACACTATCTTCATGGAACATGATCTTTACTTAATATCCTAATGATTTTTGGCATAAAATAAAAATAAATAATTTTGACCCATATTGTTGGCTATTGCTACAAATATACCCCAGCGACTTAACACTGCTTTTGTGCACATATATTATAGTATAGTATACATTATATTTTTAATGAAGTGAGGCCAAATTTAGTTTTAGAATGTTTTAATCAAAGAAAATGCTGGGTTAAATATAACCCAGCGCTGGGTTAAAAAGGGACAAACCCAGCGGTCGGGTTGTTTTGACCCAGCGGTCGGGTTGTTTTGACCCAGCGGTCGGGTTGTTTTGACCCAGCGGTCGGGTTGTTTTGACCCAGCGGTCGGATTGTTTTGACCCAGCGGTCGGGTTGTTTTGACCCAGCGGTCGGGTTGTTTTGACCCAGCGGTCGGGTTGTTTTGACCCAGAGGTTGGGTTCAAAACAACCCAACCGCTGGATCAAAACAAACCAATAGCTGGGTTTGTCCCTTTTTAACCCAGCATTTTTTAGAGTGTATTATGTTATGTTATGTTATGTTCATTCATTTTCAGATTTCAGATATTTATTTTTTGTGTCTTCTCCATTATCAGCATGCAACCCCTGGTAGATGGCCAGTAAATGAAGTGATTTGATTGGCTGATTGGATAAACAGGTCATTATTGATGACCTCAGGTCTGCTGTGCTGTGTGCCGCTCCATTAGTGTTCATCTGTGTGTCTTGTCTATAATCATGTGAATCCGTTTATCTACACAATTCCAAATGCCATCTGTGAAGTGAGTTTGTCTGATGGAGATTATGTGAATCTGTAATCTGATCATCAGAGCTTCACATTCAAACATTCAATGCACATGCAGCTTTAGCATATACTGTACACTACAAGAATAATGCATGAACATCCGTCAACAAATCCTCTCAAATCAGTCTTAACGCTACAGATTCTGCCTCCATTTACAGCGATTTAAATAAATTCACAGTGAGCAACACAAAAGTAAAGACAGCACAAAATACAATTTTAAAAGAGGAAAGAAAAGTTGACTGAGTTCTCAGAACGAGAGTACTTTTCATAAATGTAATGTTGGGGCAAGTTGTCACGTCTTTTAAATGTTGGCCAATTGATTAAATACATTTTCCTTTGGCCAAAACAGTTTGGATGTATGAGGGTTATTATAGTTAACTAAAACAAACAAACAAAACAACTACTACTTCAAAGAAAATAAATGTTAATTGAAAAATAAATAAATACTGTAACTGATTGTATTTCAGCTAGTTTGTATTGAGATAAATTTGTACTAAAATACTAAAAATAAAATAAAAATGTAAAAATATAGACAGGAAAAACCTTAAACTAATAAAAATGACAAAATTAGCCTACTAAAAGTTTAGATACAATTTAAATTAAAACAGAAAATCTAAAACTAAAAACTAATTTAAAACATTTATAAAAAACTATAATATCTCAATTATACTAAGATATCTCTGATATGTATCAGTATATGTTTTTGTGCAATATTTTGTTTCTGTTTTACAATTGTTTTGCTGTTTAAGATTTTGCTTTAAAAAAAAAGCATATATAAATAGCCTATAATACTTCTAGAAATCTAGGTGTTTTGTTATACTTTAGGTGTATTTATTGCAGCTTCCCAGTGTCTAAAATAACATATTTTGGGAAATGTTTTTTCATTTGTTGATCAGTTTCCTGTTTCCTCAACAGCACTTTCCTTCCTGTTGGTCTTTTCATTTGTAAAATCCTTTTACAGTTCCTCAGTGATGTCACCCTATATTTGGAGGGAAATCAGCAGTGAGGATTTGATGGACTCTGTGAGGTTTGTGATGTTAGTTGGTTCGTGTTTCTCCCTGTTTGATCAAATTACATAAATTAGTGATAATAGAAAAATAACAAATATATTATTTTAATTAAAAAAAAATATATATATACATTATTTTACACACACACACACACACAGACACAGACACACACCCACAGAGACACACACACACACACACACAGACAGAGACAAAGACACACACACACACACACACACATTAATGTAAAATGTTATTTTAAAAGAAATTAAAAAATATAAAAATGAACTGACATCCTTATCCATCCCTCAACTTGACCTCATTAGTTAAAGTTATGTGAGGTGAGAGTATTTCTGATAAGTTCAAATACTTCCTCATGTTTTAACAGCAGCACCGTTGAATATGTGTTTTATTGCCTGTGTTTGTGATGAGGATACAGGGGGCCTTCATGTTACACATTACACAGAGTTAACAACACAAAATCAAACATTATCAAAGTCAGATGTTACATATTCTGTGCTTTATGGACTTCGCTGTTTAAACCACAACCAAATTAAATTCCAAATAACCCGAGCAACAGCAAACTAAATCTGTTTTTGAGCATTAAAAATGAGCAGTGGTGACCTTATTTTCTCATTTCAAACTTGAGTTATATTTAGGAATATAGGTTCAATTTACATATACACCTTATACATATTTTATACATTTTTTTAAACCATTTTAAACTTTTTATTTTGCCTTCATTAGTTATATCAGTGATCATACAATTAATTTTTTTAAAGTACAAACATAAAAAGGTCATTTAAAATAGTTTTAGATGAATTAGATTGATATGTTTAGTGTGTAATTTATTAGAAATCTGAACTGCTTTCCATTGTATTGTCTTTTGCTTTGTTTTTCATTCATAAATATTAATTAATCTAATATAAACCCCAACTAAAATAACACATTCAGACAGCATCACATTTTTTGAAGTCTTTTTTTTGTTATTGAGATGACATCATCACCCAAAACTAGACAATTTACAGGAAATAGAACAAAACAGAAACAAATGAAAGAGTTTTGCGACTTTGTACTCGTCTAATCTCGCCTGTGAACGCCTAGGTGTGTGTGATCAGAAGCCCCGCCCCTCTCGGGTTCCCCTCCCATTTAACTGGTTTGAGTGGCACGTAAGAGCCCCGCCCCTATCTCGTTCCCCTCTCGTTAAACCTGTTTGATTGGCAGGCGGAAGCCCCGCCCCGTCCTCCGTCCCCCTCCCGCCGCCGGGCTTTGATTGGCAGATGATAGCAGCTGCGGGGTTGGGAAGGCATGGCGGGGCTCCGCCGCGCCTCCGGCTGGAGGTACGGAGATCATTTCTGATAAACTGTCAAACTTTATAACAAATCTAAAATGACCGAAAGCGAGGCAAAGTTGCGAGCGGCGACGGACCAGCGCCAAGCGACCTGAAACCGAGAGCTGGCAAAGATGTGAGACTCTCCGGAGCCGAAGAAGAAGAAGAAAAAAACCGTTGGAGTCTCCCAAAGTCGCAAACATGGCTTCTCGTTTATTTCAATTTCACACAGAACACTCTTTAACCGGAGCGTCGTCGTTTTC